CGTGTGAGCACAATTTTATGTCAACGATCCCCTTCGGGATGAAGGACGTTCCCTTTAATAGAAAGTCGATTTAATGGACGCGAGAAAGACTAGTTAGATATTATCTCGAAAATTATCGATGATATAGCAAAATTACGAGCAGCCTTCGCGAGATAAAGCCATTTTTACGATGGCGGCGCATAGAGCTCTGGCAAGATTAAGAAGTAAACGATCGAAAAAAATCTCAGAAAGAAGGATCAAAATTAATTCGTGTCTTGAAACTTTAAATTGTTTGTTCGTTCTGTCGTTTTCTCTTTACGAAGGAACGTCCTTTCAGTCACTTATTTACAGTCGCTGTGTGTACATGACATCTACGATTCTACGAAAGTAAAACGTATCGCGGTTTTCTTTACTTTTAAAATGGAAGTTGATCTACAGGATGAAAAGGCAGACCTTTTGACCATAAAGACGAAGAGACGCACCTACCGTTAGCGCGTTTTTCGATTCCATGGTGGAAGCATGAATATCACGTCGTTGCTTTCGTTTTTGTGAAAACAATGTCCAAGGGGATCCGTAACGGGGAATGGGAAAAATGGAATTCTTCGTGGGTTTTCCATTCCGAGTATATGGGAGGTTATACAAGTAATGGCATTCGCCAATATACACGACCGCACGTAGTAAATACATATACGTTCTCGGGAAGACATGCAGATGGACGGAAATATTACATCCTTACATGAAGATGTTGCGCGCTATGTTGTATTCTCTACAAATAAAAATATTTAGATGCGCACTACGTGCATGGTTATTCCAAATATTAAAACCGCGAGAGATGCATCTGTTATATTTTATCAAAAAGATCCCTATTCCAAAACAGAAAACATCAAACGTGCTTAATCCCGTGACTCATAGAAGTTTGTAATTCACGTGCTTTGACTTAGGGGGGGGTCAATTCTGTATCTTACAATGCGGTGAAAATGCTAAAAGTGAACGGCTTTGTCTCTTTTTAAGGGGACGGCTGGAAAGAGATGAGGCTATTCACTTTTGGTGTTTTCACCATAGTGTAATACAATTACAATGCAAGAATCGTATGAGATAGAAATTGTAATTAAATTGAAACTAAATTTTTCTCTGAGCGTTTTCGCAATATTTGGTGACAGTTACCATATTTCACGATTATAACTTCGGCTAAAAGCAGAATTGTTATTTTCACGCTTCGCAATTTTATCTTGAGAAAACGTCAGATGTTATCAACTGGTAAGGTTTGCATATGCATTGAAGTACTTCAAATACAAGTTACTTCAGACGTGAGAACTCTTTCTTTTCTGACATGCTTTCTCGTGCTACGTATTTTGCTTCCCGAAACTAGGATGCAAAAAATATATTCTTTATGCTAGATTCTGTTATGCTCTTAGAAATTAAAGTTAGAAACAATTGTAACCTTGTATAATCGCAAAATATGCAGGCACAGATGAACCATTTTTTTGCCATGTTTTTTTTAAATAATTGCAACAGTTTCTATTAATATTTGTTTAATGTTATTGTTAATTCGTTACACATTCGATATAATGGAATGACGAATTTATGATATTTTTCAAACAAATACTCGTACGTGCAGTGATTACATTTGAGATTTTATTAATTTTTAATCGCACAATTTTTACGTCTGTTGATATTTAATGATTGTATGTAATTACTTTTATTTCATCGTTTTACTACGTTTATTAAATTCCCTTTGCTCGCCGGATATCGCCCAGACTACAAAAATTTTTAATCTCACGAATGAATTTGTATTTCACGCGAAATAAAGTTAATTCATACTCAAGCTATTCCGAGGGGACCGCTTGAGATGTTGCACATTATAAAATAAACAACCACCACAGAGAACTTCCTCTTTAACTTGGAGCAACTACTACTTTCACCTTAGAAAATTCAAAATACCTTAGGTCCCGTGAAAATTACAGCATCGTAAAATAGCCTGAATAGAGTCATTTTTTCATTTATTATAATTTTTCACAAGTACAGTAACTTTACAATAATAATCATAAAAATATAAAGGCAGTATACATACGGAATTAATAACATTAATAAACAATAGAAGATGAGAGGAGAAAGTTTACACTCTCAAGTCTATTCTTTTAGTTTACATTATGTATCATTAATATTATGCTGCTAGTCGTGAGCACAAGAGTATCGCTCGTTTCACTCGAGATGCGCACAATGCGGCCATTTTCCAGATGAGATGGGCAACATGCGCTCTTTGAGGAAAAAGTGATGATGTAAACAGCGCGATGAATGTCTTGAGTGAAAAAGGGATTATCACGGGCATGTTGCAATATTCTCGTACGCGAGACGAAGAGGAACTAACGCGCGAAAGATGGTGCGAGGGAAGAGAAACAAGAAACTACAAAATTGTTTGCCGAGAAACGGGAAGGTAGATAGTCGAGCGGGAGAGAGAACGAGACACCTAGCAGGCGAGGATCTGATTTACTCGCTGCAGGTGGATGTAGATTTCCGCCGTCGTTCCTGCTTTTAGAAACTCGACGCCTCTGAAACATGGCGTCGTACGAAATTCTCGAAATTCAACGGTTTATCTCGAAGTTATCTTCGACAACCGATTTATTGAAATTTTACAATGAATGAAAAAGCTTGCCTGTAAATAAAAATCACACGTTATAAACTTGACCATAATAAACGATTATCGGCAGCTACGATTTATTGATAAATTGCGCAACAATCGTAAAGTAAAAGAGCGAGTTAAATTTTTTTTAAATACTTTTTAAATTGGCTTGCAATTTAATCGTTTAATCAATACATCACGTTGTAATATTAAACGTAATATTAAATCAGTCGATCAACCTAATATTAATGCAACATTAAATCAATCAGATTTTAAATTAGTTAAATTATTATTTAAAGAGGATATTGGCTCATGATTGTAAATTATTACGATATTTAAAAAAAATTTGTTCTCTTTATAAATTCAGAAGCTTAATTTTGTAGAGCGTAGAGAATGGAACTGATTTCACGCTTTACCGCAAACTCTACGCTTAACAACAATAACTGGATGAGGTTATTACGTTCTGATTCTGTCCCTAGGAAAGTGGTAAATGGAGCGAATGAATTTTGACCTTATCCTTGCGCAGTTGCTCTCGATAAGAACCGCCGAGTCTTCATCCTGAGTTTAGAAACCGATAATGTCGGAATGCATAAAGCCTGTTGTTTATGAACCGCAAGGCAATCGCGAGGAAATAATCGGCGTAGAACGATTTAATAAATACCGAGTGCATTCGAGAAGAACAAATTTGCGAAAGTAATTGAAACGATTAACGGAAGATAATATATATTCCATGCTCTCTTTCATTAAACTTACATTACTATGTGGATAAATTCACCTAGAAATTTTATCTATAAAAGAGTGCGTACATATTCTTGTGACGTCAGCGCTATTTTAGATAGCACAGCAATAGATTGAAAATTTTGTCGCAGTATTATCATATAAAAGTATAGTAATTGAATTTTATTCAAGTCCGCATAAATTATTCTCAACTTGCCATACGCAGTATCTCGAGACCGACGAAATACCCGCCCGGTAGACCTTTTAAAAGTATCAAAACCGAAGTGCAGGATAAAAGCACTCCGGTCAGAAACTTACCTTATCACACTTTGAAATCGCACGATAAAGGGAAAACCTCTTGTAAGACATCGACTTAAAAATTTGTGAGCAAGCCTCTCATGATGTCAGACACGACAAGAGCTTTCGCCAGTAAAATACAGGACTTAGCCACCGAGATGGTGGTGCAGTCGTATGAGGTTATCAAGTTTTAGCCCGAGGAGAAAAAGCACGTTGTATCGACCTCATAAAAAAGAAAAGAAGAATGCTCTAAAGTCTTATATTGAGATGCTCTCGTCTGAATGTTGCACAAAACGCAATACAATGTAGGTAGCCACCTTCCTTTTCAAGATGCAATATGCGTTTGACAAAGAGACGGTATATACGAAATAGTATTCTCCTTAAGGTATTACTACATTATTACGCGAATTAACTTAATATCCTTATCGTGCATTTAGCAGTGAAGAGGCAACTGTTTGAATCTCATTTCGCGTTCATATTAAGTGGATTATTCATATTAAAGAAATAGCAAAGGAAAAAAAGAATATGCACTTTTGTTGCCAAGAAATGATTTGAAGCAAAATAATTAATTATAAAGATATTTCATCATCTTTTGAAAGATTTAAAATAAATTTTTGTATTTTTGTAGAATTTTCTTATTTCTGCGATGATCTGTGTAGTAAGTAATAGACAATAGCTCTAATTTGAGGGAGGAGCAAACAGCTTTTGTTAGAGAGACACAAAGGCCGGCATTTCCCCACTCGTTAAATCAAGGCGGATCACTTTATTGCGAATTAAGTTGCCTGCAGTTTCGTGCACGGGCAAGCGACAACGTTAAATCTCGTTAGTGACCGAGCGTTGGAAATTAAAAAAGAGAACGACGAAAAGTTAAAAAGGCGCGCGTACGAGAATCGTTGGTATCGCGCTCTTTTCAGGGATGGAATTCGAACGCTCAATTTGCCCGCCTTCCTGCATGCTACTCATATATCGTTACTCGGTCCAATCGCATTAAAATGGGAGAATCGATTGTTCTCGAGGACAACACGTCTTTTTCCTTTTTCAGCTATGTACAGCTGAATACTACGATTGATTGGTATTGGATTGTATTGTGTTGGCTGCAGAATTGTAATAAGAAAAATTATGTACTCATTAAAAGACTTTTATTAATTACCCCAGAAATACTAATATTGCATTTAATTACTGATTTTATAGCTTCAATACTTTATCCCATGTTATTCTGGATTAAAATGTTTAAATAGCAACAGCGACAACACAATCGGAAATATTCCATTTAACGGCTATTAGGACACACTTTGGATTAATATTTTACTACTGACAATGAAACTGATTGATGCACCGATTGATATACTGATTGATACTTGATTATTCGATTCTATTATTGTTTTAGTTACTGGAGCGTCCACGGGAGAAACTGAAGATCCGCGATGGAGCACGTACAGCGCTCGAAAAACCAGTCGATCCTCGTTGCCGCGATCCTGGCCGTCCTCGAGTCTAGAGCATGCCGCGAGGGAGACTAGACCCTCGAATGGCAAGCTCCCAGAAACTAGCTCTTGGAGCGTAGACAGATCGAGTCCTGGAACTCGATCGGATCTGAGTTTCCTGGGAACGGTGGTCGAGAGATCTGAAGAAGACGAGGACGGGAAGAGGATGCAGTCGCCGGGGGGCAATGACATCGAGGACGCAAGGATCACAAGCCATAACCCGTCCATCTCCTCCAGGAGCAACGAAACGAGCCAGACGGATCTGTCCAATCGGATTTCCATCGAGTCATCGTCCCCGCAGTCGTCGCCGATTGGCTATCACCTCGTGAGGACCTCGTCGACTTCCAGAAGCTCTTATGACGTAATTCGTACCGAATCTCGTAGCTAGTAGCACTTATTTGGTCGCGATTAAGGCTGCAGATGTTCCGAATGTTCAAGAATAATATAATAGGTCTCAAGATTACTACATTAGATTTTCTCTTATCTTAATCTTTTTTTCTTTCATCTTAATAATCTGATTTACTAAGTTCTTAAAATGAAACTGTAACTGAAGTCACAATAATCTGGTCAATGGATTATTTAAATTGTCTTATTAACAATTGAAGAGAATTAAATTAAAAGTAAAATAAAAGTTAGTAGCAATGTCTGCGAACAGTTGTTATAGATTTTTGCAAAAACTAGACCGATTACCTCAAACTTATGAACAAATTAAACATCAAGTAAGATATCGGTATCACACAATAGCAAGGATGCTCAGTACGATATATCTCTTACCAATATCGATACTTCTCACAACAGTCGTAATTACTCAGCCCCGTTTCCAATATCGTAATGCAAGCGATAACTATAATTTAGTGGTATTGCGACACCAGTTGCCAAAGCGGAATCTGGCTCCCATTTAATTAACGACTTAATATCTCGGATTAAAGGCTCATAATCCATTGATCATATAAATTTTCGCTCTTGCGTAGCTCAAATTAATGCGATATGGGCGCGACAAGAAAAACCATGAAGAGTCCTCTCGCGCTGAGGTTAATCTCGCGAACATCTTCACGTGTCGCAATTTTTCAAAACGCCGTTGCATAAGTTGTAAAAAATACTGTACGTTATTTTATTGTACGACGAACCTCGCATATAAATTCAAATGTGACTTTGCAATGTGTGCAGATAGTGCCAACGTCCGAGACACGACTATCACTCGAGACGCTCCCGCGCGAGAACTTGGTAAACACGATGTTGATGACGACGTCCATGAAAGACATCGTCATGTCACGACGCCACATGAGACACATCCCGGACATCTGCGAGAAGTTTCAGATCGGGGACGACACAAAGAGGGAGTTTTACAGCCCGAATTATCCCGATCCATATCCGAATCAGACGAATTGCGTTCGAGTTTTGGAAGGTAAGTCGCTCTCTTACAGTAAAAACAATAGAACTTAAGTTCTAAAAAGAGGCAAATTGGCAATTTAAAAATAAATCTCTATCTAAATATTATATCTAGAGTAAAATAGAATAAAAACGTGATCTTTTAACTTGCGTGGTTTAACTTGAGTAGTTATGTCAATACAAAACAGACGTTAAATCGAAATCTTAAAAAATTATCCTTAATCATTATGAATATCTGTTTTCATAATTGTAATAAATATTTGTAAAAAGGGAGAGCAATAATACATTATTTATACATCAGTCGCGAGTTAAAAGTCTGTGATTGATTGTGGGGAGTCTACAAAGTTCGAATTAATCCAAGATAAATAATTTAGCGGGCAATCATAGCTTGTGTGTTAAACCGCGAGTCTCGCATCGCCGACCGGAATATTGAGGGAACAATCATTTTCGCGGCGGTGGTTCAATGACCAATAATCGATTTCCCGCACGTACATATCGTATCTCCCGGAGAAATCGATTTTCAAGCGAGCTTCGAGAGAACTTTTACAAGATTGCTCGCGGCAAGAACACGCTAGCCAGATTTCACTTTACTGCTGCGCACCGTTCGCTGATAATGCGGGGAAAAAAGGCGAGCGTGTTGGAATGGCGAACTCTTTCCGGACGAGGAAAACCTTTGATCCACGATTCTCTGGTATCCCGGGGCAAATGTTTTGAACAAACATCGTTTCCTTTCGAGCAAAATCCCGGTTAAGTAAAGAGCGTTAGACCGGACTTATCTCTTATAATGGCACGATCTGGTTATTATCTATATATGAATGCTATAATATCACAATCCGTATCCTCTAAATTCGCCGTATACGTAAATTTATAAGCTTTGTGTTTCTTTATATTCTCACAATAGCGACACTAGTAAAATTTTAATTCGTTATCCATTGGTAATCTGTTTTTTTTTCTTTATATTCTGTGATAAATAAAAATTTACAGATGTAGTTGTGAATTAATTTACGATAAATGGCATATCTGAAACAAGCTTTAATTCTCGATAAAAACTTTTAATTGTTATGAGTAATTGCTACGTACACTAAAATCGAAAATTTGTAAAGACTATGTGCAATATATGAACTCATTTCAAAGCGCCACAAAAGAAGATGAAAACAATTTGATTAAAACAAATATATTATTGCTAAATTTTTATAAATTGGATCGAGAAGCGTACCATAAACTTCAATATGGTAAATCCAATTGTATTGAAAATTCTATAACAGTTTATTGAGAAATATCGAGATGTTCCGAACACAATACTTTTAATCTTCAAAATACGTTTCTGCGCAAATCACAATAATTTTCTCATGCAAGCTCAATAATAAGAAGAACATAAATCTCACAACGTGAAAAGAATATTATTTAGAATAATCTGCTAAATGAATTTTGGCGTATATCTCGTAAAAATGCCGGTATGATTGTCGAATAATGGCGAACATGACTACCGAAACTGTCTTCATTCATATTTATTCTATACCGCGAAACTTTGTAGAAGTACTGTATGTTTTATTCGCCCCCTCCCTCCTCGTTTCATATGTATAAGTTTAATGCAACTTCGTAGCTTGAACATGACTGAACTTTCTGGGGGAGTAGGAGAGGCCTCGAGTGATTGATACATCCCGGTGGTTCGGTTCGTTGGCTAAGGATACCGCGAGAAGATAGTAAATTTTCCTAGACTGGCCCACAAAAGAGTCGAAGCTGCAAAGCGGAAGAAACGCAGAATGGACTCCTTTATTCCAACGATCACGGTTTTCACTTAACTCGTAGTAGTCATTTTTAACGATAGATATAGTACGATGGAACTTAATTGAAGGATTACTACATTGTTCTCTGGGAAATTTGAAATAGATATAATATCAACTTTTTCAACTGTCAATAACTGATATTATCAATGTAATGATAATATTAAAAATCAAGAATTTGACCTTTGCTTTTTATTCTGTACGTGTCTATTACACTTAATCTATTATATTAAATAAGACAACCAGTAAAACGAAAAAGCTTCACAACAATATTCCTTCATTATGCGCCATTATCTTCCGCGTCAGCGAAAATAATGCACAACAAACGGGATTTTTCATTTTATGCTTGTGCAGATTCGAACGTAGCAACGCTAGATGATCGTAGGTAGAAAGTCGAGAAAGAAAAAAAAATGGCGAACGTTCGGTGAAATCATAAATCTTCGTGAATCCAACCACTCTCCTTGTCGGTGGCTGCACGAAAGCAATATCTCGATAACGAATCGATGTATCTACGAACGACTGGAGAAGCTGCTCCTAGTCGTTCAGACGAAAAATGTCTCTCCGTTTCGAGCTACTCACTCGTGTAAGATTCAAAGGATTCGGAGAAGCTCTACTTTTTTCCCCAAATTATAACCAATTAGATTGACTTATCCATTTGCAGAAAAAGTATTCAGAAAAAATTATCCATCATTTACACATTTAATTATAATTGTCAAATTCTACATGTTTCCTTATTTACGTTTACCTTTGTTCAGAAATAGATAAAAATAAAATTAAATCAAATAAATCGATACGAATCGTAATCGTTATAGCACTGATAATTTAATTTGTAGAAATTTGTGTCGATCTCTCTTTAATTTGGAACCTCGAGATGCGTCGGATTAGGCAATGCGCGGCAGCTGGCTCTTGTTTGAATTTGAGTCAGGGTCGACGAGCCTCGCTCGTGAGTTATCGAGTCTTCTTCGCGTGTACTAAAATAGCGACCACGATGATTACGGCGATCCTCGACCAAATCTTGCAGACTGTGAAGCATGGACGTGCGCACAGTAAATATCGCCATACACAATGTCGTAAAACTAAAGGAAATGGCACTTTGACGAGAAGAATTATAATAAAACAACAAATGTGTCGAGCCCTAAAGATATCGGTGATATTTCGACGGCTGATATATTGTTTAGTATATTTCCATTGTATACAGCAGATGCAATTTCTTTTTCCGATTACTTATTTTGAATTTAATTTTTTAAATACGAAATGATAAACGTTGTTTAGAAGTGTATTAAAGAGCATTGTAGTCATCTGTAGGTTTAATCACACCTTCTCCAATTTAAAATAAAATTGGAATGGTTTATAAACGTCATTATTGTAAAATAGAATTTCCGTAACATTTAAATAATATATAATAATTTCTCTAAATAATTATTTTCTATGACTACACACATACACATGCATACACACACATACACACGCATACACAGGCATACACACGTATACACACGCATACACACGTGTCACGCGCATTCACACACACGCATTTAGTATTGAAACGTACATTGAAACGTTTCTAAACCCGGCTTTTCGTCGCTCCGTGCTAAGCTCGATGTAACAAGCAAGAAATTGTAATTGGCTCTGGCAAAGGGACTAGTTTGCCATTGCATAATGATGATTGTATAACTGTGATTGCACTCGGAGAAGTGACTATAGCATATTAAGGCCTCCTATGTAAATTACGTCACATAATTATCTTAATGCCGACGTGATTGGAATTAAGGAAGTTTCATTCTAATGACAACCGCTTCCACTGTATTATCCGATATTCATTGTTAACTATTTTAATTATCGAGGAACGATAATTCTAACATATTATGATTTAGTCGCGGATTGTAGGAAGTTTTAGACTTAAATCCTGGTTAGAATGTCTTTTCGCAATAAATTTTGAATGACGATACAACGAAAAAGCATGCTTATTAGTATCGAATTTACGAAATTTACCGTTCCAACAAAAGACCTTTTTCGAGGCTGACAAATAATCGACGTGCAGTTTGCTAAGTTGAAAAATATACAAACTTCGCGCAAAAGTAATGTAAAAGTTACTATATTAATACTGGGTAATATTATAAGTTACCAAGATTCAGCTCAAACAAAGATGGCACATTTTCTGTATTTAATTTTAATATATCACTGCAAGAAATCTTGTCCTAATTACATGTTTAGGGCCAGTCAACTGAATCTGTAAAATTCTCAGTATAGAGCTAGTACTTCGTTGTTCTTTTTGCAGTCACAAACTGTTTGCAATGTCACATGTTATTTCCGATAATTTGTTTAAATGTTTACGTATTGTAATATTTCATTGCAACATGAAACCGGATATGGACATTTTTAACTAATTATTAATATAATAATGTATGAATTGAAGATCATAAATTATAATTTCACTCACAAATGAAGCAGCTCTATAAATAAAACATTTTACTTATGAATCAATAATATTCCAGTAATTATCGCGCAATTATTATAAAATTACGCGACTCATAACACAAATTCGTCCAACTTTATTCGAACCACATTTTTAGTCACATTTTTATGTTCTTTTTACAACAGAACATTATGTGCTGCGCTATTGTGCCAATTGTTTAGTCGTGGAATAATTGTTAAACCCTTTAGTTAATTAAACTACTTGACAAACTTGAATCTAGACGACAAAATATCTTCACAGTATCTTAAGTCACGTTCCTGGAATTTCCAAAATATATGGAGACCCGCGCATCGTCTGGCAATCCGCGGTCGTCACTTGGCAGGCTATCAGCAAGAAACTTCTACGGAATCTTGAGAAGGATCTTTGCCACCACTATGTACCACGTGTCCTTCTCAAACACTTCTTCGTCTTATAATTTGCTTGAATAATACAACGTAATTTACATAACTTTCTAACATTAACGAAATGCGTGTATATTACATTTTTAAAATTTTAATTAATCATCTCTAAATTTTATCTCAAGTAAAAATATACATTTGCTTCATTTGATATAACATTTTAATTCGCGTAATCGAGTATTTAAAGAACATATATGACATGTGCTTGTATGCCAGTCGTAAATTTTTTGTCAGAGATTTTTCTGAAATTTTTTAGTTGAACATGTTAATAAGTAAAAAATGTAATTTTTTTTCTTTTACTTCATATTTTTATCACTTACATTGTGAATCTAAATTTTATATTAAAAAAATAAGGCAA